TGCGTGTATTTAAGCTCCCGCGGCATGACGTCTCAATCCGGGTTACGGGTAGTGGAATTTCCGCCTACGTAAGTTCCGGTAACATGTAATATCGTAGTCAAAATGTTAATGCACTGGTTTTTGTTCCGGGTGAAGGAAATTCCTTTTCATAGAATTCCGGGATGGGAATATTTACTGTATAGGCATTTTTAGAGGGGCATTAGTTGCTTGCAGTTGTCCACTATTCACAGGAGATGGAGACGGAGCCCTGCAGCGAATACCAGTTAGGTGTAATCATAACTGAGAATTCATTTTCTAGTTTTTATGAATACGAATAAGAAAACCTTTATTCGTCCCACAATGGAGAAATTCCCAATTTACAGCAGCAAATTTTTGAAAGGAAGAAAGTAACTTCAAATCATTGTTTAAATACGTCAATTATGATTAACAAAAACAAAATCAATGATGAGATGTATTCCAATGAATAATTTCTTTACTGTTTCAATGACTCCATGAAGCCAATGAAGCATTTTTTTCAACCTCATAAATGAATGACCTGCCCCCGTTCACATTCTGTACACTCTCACTGAGCCAATTATTCCCGGGATAGTATGAATGGTCTGTCCCGGGTTGCCGTGAGCCAGTCACAGCGTAACCTTGCCGCTGGGCCTCTCAAGCGTTCCCGAGGTTTGGCATCCAGTGCAAACAGTTATCACAAGGGGCTAGAAGCAAAGCGATCGCCCACCGCTGTCGGCCGGCTTGTTTCAGCTCTATGGAGGCTGAGGTTGATGTATGGGCCTCTCGCACGTGCACAGCAGCCGCAGTCTTTCCGACCCCGGGTGATGAATCGCATCAATATGGTGCTCATATGACTCTCCTCTTTTTCTATTATGTTTCCATCCCTGGCAAGCTCTAACATAAACGCCATTGTTCTTCCCGTTTTCCAACCGCTGTTCGTTTTGCCGACGACACGGCGCTCCTTTTGTGACGCTTTTTAATGAGCAGAAAAAGATATGCAAGAGTGCACAGGAGGGGAAACACTCGACAAAAGCGTTTTTTTTTGGGGGGGGGGGGGGGGGGGTTCTCGCAAAGATTACGTCTGACCCCACTGCTTTGTCTCTTTCTCAAAACCATTCTATGCGAGAACGAGTGCAGCAGGATAGATTAGCATCAGTGCCAATTGGCCCGCAAATTGGACGGCACGTCGGAAAATGGAAGATGGGAGTGGGTTGACGGAGGAATGGGCAGACAATAGGCAGAGAAGGTCGACATTAAGGACGCAGCGTTGAATTTGCATGGAAAGCAAGTTTTGCGCTCCGCTGCATCTCTTCCTCGCAAGAGTGACGCTGTCACAGTTACTCTCATTCCGAAACACATTTACACACAAGTCTTGCCACCGTAAAACCATCTTAAAACTAAAAAAAAAACAAAACAAAAAAGAATTACACCGTGAGTATTTCAATCTACCGCAAAGCTTCACTTAGCTTAATGCTAACAAGCAATGCAAAACATTATAAATGTTAGCATCCCATTGGTGTCTCTGTGTTGTAACATTAAACAATGGCTATTTGAACACAAATGGTACGGCAAAAGAATACAGAAATGTTCACCTGCATTTTTTTCTCAAACCTAAAATGGTGCATCACTGCCATGTACTGGTGGTTGTGTGTTAGTAGAGTTGTTTCCCAGCTTGAAATTTACAACGGAGCGGCATCAGACTCTCTTCCCCACATCCCCATTGAAAATCGTTAGCTTTACTTGTCAATGGCAATGAATGAGTTGAGGAATTGTAATGCCTGGAATGTGGGCCCAGAGCGCCACAGTCACTGATGCACTTTCAGCCGTTCATTGAACGAAGCAACAAGTCAAACACACAAATACAAAATGAGAACACTCACAAGGAGCGACTGAAAGTGCTCAGACAAACCGATTCGAGCTCACCATGTCACTCAGTAGGCCACGCCCCTCCAGGACATACAAATACTACACAGTATGTACAGTAAAATGACACTTTGTTGGGACTAAATAAACTGATTTCAAGTACCAAAGAAATGTCAATTACAATGAAACTAAAATACAGTCAAATGATTCACCCTTTGAAAAAAAATGCCTGACAGACACGTAATGGAGTGCGAAAGGAAATATGTTTGCAGAGAAACAGTCACTTTACAGTTATTGCGGTTACGAATAAAGAACAAGTTTATCTGTGTATAATCAATCAACTAATAAACTTTGAAGGAGTCTGACAGACACGCTAACGATAGAGGTAGGGGTTCTCGAAGCATCCACCTATCCGAAGCACTCAAGCTGTGGTGTGGCATCGCGAGTGTCATTAGCCACCTCGAAATGACTTTCATGAAAAAAAAAGAAAAAAAAAACAAGGTCTTCTGCCTCTCAGAACAGAAAGATGGGCCATTAATCCATGTTCATGAAGCATCAAAATTACCTTTGGCTGAAAGATGATTTGGTCACGGGGGCGCCTGAGGTAACCCATATCAGGTCACATAAGTAAGAAGGGAACAAGTAAGAGTCTGTTTGGATTATTTATTAACAATGAGCCGCCTACTGATCCAAAACATCCAATTGTGATCCTGATCCCAAATGTACAGTTGTAATGGCACTTGTGATCACAAACCCACAATTGTATTCACAGTCAATTGATCGCCAATATACAATCGGTCAATCCATTCTTACTACTCCCCACAGGAGGAGGGTACTATACATGAAGTGGGTACTTTGGTATGTACTAATGCACAGCACATTCAGTATGTGCTAGCTTCAATGCGTGTCTACAAAGTATGTTGTCACAAGATTTTCAAGTAAACTTTGGTGTTCAAACAACAACAAGCAAGGCGTCCTGGCTTGTCTGCTGCTTTGAGAGCATTTCAGGCTCATGCTAAATTATACTGTTGATTTAAGCTGATTCGCAAAAGCGTAAACACGGTTGACATGTCTAAAAAACAAACACAAAAAAAAAAACGGTCCCGATTTCCGAGCAGAGGACTCAATTATCTGGTGCATTGGATAGCGGCGGCCAACCATTCCTCTAAAAGTCTCACAAATGTGATGTTATTGATTGTGGCGTTCAATGTTCAATGTTCTCATTCTCTTTTTCTCCCTGGCAGTGGCCAACATCCTGTGGCGGGATGAAGGTACGGCTCCATGGCTGCATTCATTAAAGTGGCTTAATTGAATTCCTGTAATAGTGTTAGTCAAGTGTGACAAGAAGGATTAAATGATTGCACGCTGCCTTATTTACTTTCGGTTGTATGTTCTTTGTTGTGGCAGGTCTTGGTATCGGAAACATGTTCTACGTCTTCTACCGGGACGGCATTAAAGTCATCCAGCCGGTGGCTTGCGAGATACAGAGGCACATCAAGCCCAGCGAGAAGCTGCTGGCTCTTAAGGTGAGAAATACCCCAAAACACCTTCAGAAGCGTCCCCTGGTTGCAAAAAAAAAAAAAAAAAACTGGGAAAACAAAGGAGGCGCACCAGTTCCAGAAGTCGACACAAATTTGGTGAGCATATCTGTCCTAACAAGATAAGATAAGAAAACCTTTATTGTCTCACAATGGAGAAATTTGCAAGAAATAAATCTAATAAAATGACAAAAAGAAACTCAAACAGGGAAAGATACTGCTGTTCAGGCAGACACTCTGGTGGCGCCATATCGGGAAAAAAAAAATGTATGCATGAAGATGTCTCAAGAACTCATATCCGAACTTGACATTTTGATCAGACGTTTTGGTTTGAATCTGAATCATTTTGGGTGAATTCCAAGAGCTGCTATCTGCTATTCTGACAAATACAAATTTGAGAAAAAAAGCCTCTGAGAACCGAGTCATAACAAAACGTTCTTCTCAAAATGTCTCACAGACTTGTGTCAGAGTTTGAAGAGGAAATTGTCCACTTCGGTCTGAAGCAATCGGTTTTGGGCAAATTTCAGAGCTCATACTTTGGGTTTTCCTGAGATATTTTCTGGGTCTACTTGTGATTGACATGCAGAACAAATTTCATGTTGCCAAATGACTGTTTTGTGGGGTTGAATTTTTCGAGGTACTTTCGGGGTCTCAAACATAACCCTCATTCTGTCGAAAGCTAGAGAACTATTCCATCTGCATAAACCAGCTCGACCAATCGACACCGGTATCATACATGGACGCACAAAAAAAAACTCTCAAGGACCCATGCCTGAAATAAACAGAAAGTCGGTCATTTAAGAACTTATTTTTGGCCAGATTCAAGTTTAATTTCAACTGCAAGTTAATCTTGTATGTTGAAATAAATATATACACAGTATGTTTGTATCCCTCCAGGAAGTCTCGATGTTGTAGAGACTGTTTTGAAGTTTTCCCTCCCACGGTGAGACACTTGTGAGGATAATTGGATTTATTTTTTTTTTATTTTTTTGGGGGGGGGGGGTTACTGTAGCAACCGATCATATGCTGCAGTACGTTAGTGAAGCAGCAATTCTTTCCATTTTTGCCTTACCAAGAAATTAGATTCAGTCCAACAAGAAACACGAGGAAATGAGACCACTAACACTACATTAACTATTTGAACAAATTCACAAGAAAATGATACCGCTTGCTCTCCAGGAATTCCATACGGAACAAAAACAAACATAACTCACCCACACATAAACCCACATAAGGTATGTGATGTGCCGAGGTGCAGCAGCCGCCCCTGCGCATACCCTCAACTGCAGCAACAAGAATTAAGATTTTTTTTTTCATAATAGGAAGAAGAACATCCATCTTTTTTAGATCAAATGGCAAATGTGGATCTTCTGTGACTGCTTTCATCCGTTTCAGCCCACCTATTTGTGACGTGTGACAAGAAGCAGCGCGCACTGAGTGAAGATGGAAACAATTCACTAATTTGGATCTTCTCCGACTCTTGTCGTGCATCTGAATCCATTTGTAATATTTAACTAGGAGCACTGAGTGACAATGTAGATGGTGACATTAGCTTCCCTGGTGAGCTACCATATGTCTCACAAGTGACTGCTGTCATACATTTAATGCACTGAGGAGAAATTTAGACTTGTAACCCAGCAACTCGCATAAGCTGCCATCTGTCTGTATTGAACAGGTTTTTGTGAACCATGAAGTTTGCCTGAGATCTGTGGCCGGCGCCGTACATCGGTTTGTAGATGACTGCGTCAGCTTCTCGCACGAGCTGCTACTGCTATAGGTTTTATGTCATGACCAGAAAGGAGCGCCCCAGGAGCTCCTTCACCTGCCGGCTAAATAGAAGCACCTGTGGCGAAAACCAAACTGTGGCAGGCTTTTGACTTTATAGGACTTGCATTTGAGACCTTTGGTGGCAACATTAATACCAGTGTGGATTTATTGCACTGCTACAGAGGACAAGAGTGGTGTATGCCCCTTCTTAACCGAGACAAGTTGGCCAGCGGGAAGGCACCTGTCACCACACTGCCTCTGTAGTTATAAATACACACGAGAGGCATAAATTCCAACATCCCGGAGCCTTTTTATTTCATCTGTCCTGGCCAGCAGCCGCTCTATATCGCCCCGCAGAGTTGGGAACAGACGGCTGGGCAGAGGATAGCGACGTCGGCCAGCTAGGCAAAAAGCTGCCAGGGACTGGAAGCTGAACATCCGTGGGAACGTGCAGGCTTTGTTGTGTGGATTATGCGGTAGAAAGAAAAGAAAATAATTTGTCAGGAGGCAGGAAAGAAACAGCAACACTGTTGATAACTGCAAGCTGTTTGTGTGTGTGTGTGTGTGTGTGTGTGTGTGTGTGTGTGTGTGTGTGTGTGTGTGTGTGTGTGTGCGTGTGTGTGTGTGTGTCTAGGAGGAAGTGTGTCCCGCCTCAGAAGAGGACGAGGCGCAGAAGTGTGTATGGTCGGCGGCGGTCAACGTCAAGGACAAATTCATTTATGCTGCGCAGCCCACGTTGGATCGCTTGCTCATCGTGGATGTCCAATCACAGAAAGCTGTCCAGGTAACTCAATTTACACATTAACACTCAATTAACATGAATCCATTTCACTAAACTACACAGTTGGTATGCAGTCAAACTCGATCAACCAATGCATCATTTAGCAAAAATGCAAACTAAAGCGGTTTGGGAAAAAGATTAATAGCACACAGAATGCATTCACTTATGGAGGCAATAAGCTGTAATACTAACTCCAGCCTTCCAGTATGCACACTGGTAGATGTAAATGTTACAGTTTTCATTATTATTTTGCTTTTTTTTTTTTTTTTTTTTTTTTTTACTAAATTATATTTATTTCTTTTTCTGTTCAAAATGACAATATTACATTCTGCATGATATGAAGTGGAATACACTTCATTTGTATTATTTTCCATTCTATATATTTCATATTTTTAAATGGTGTTCTTTTTAAAATTTTTATTTATGTATTTATTTATTTAAATTTGTTCATACTATTTATTCATTGACAATGCAATGAGTTTTCTTCTTTTTAGATGAAAAAAATGTCATTCTTTTCAAGAACAAATGAACCTTTTTTATACACAATAGATGAAGAAAAGATGGTATCTTTTTATTCATTTGAATTTCACCACTTTGGTTTGACTTTTTTTTTAAGATAGCTGTTTAAGATGGTATAATTTTTTGGGGTTCTTTTTTTTTTTTGGTTTTATTATATTTTTATATTTCAAAATCGAAAATAAGCGGTTCAGATAATAGATGGATGATAGATGAAGACTGTTGAGGAGGGGATTTGTCCATTTCCTTATGGCCCTCCTTGGACACAGGTTCTTTTATTTCGCTATAAGGTGGAAGAAAGACCCAACCACACGTCGTCTTTTCTGCAGTTTATCACAACACAATACGAATCGATTCGGGCTCTTGAGAGTTTCAGATTTCGTCAGGAAGCGTAGAAAAAATGGTCATGAGAATATATAGAGACAATATGAAAATGAGAGGCGGGCAGTTACACCTCCATGAAAATTGCGGAAACAAATAAAACCACCACTACCCCCTTTTGTCTTCGGTCTGAGCTTTGATGTGATGGCAGCAACACAGATACTTGAGATAACAGTTCCTCTTTTGATGTTAAACATGTCCTCTGGGGGGGCCCTAAAAATGGTGCGGGTCAAGCGGCATGAAAGGTGATTGTAATCACAGCGAGCAGGAAATACCTTCAACAGCAAGCTACATTGTTTCTTTCAAGTGTTTGAACAGATCCAACAACAGAGAGGGGCTAAAAAAAAATCACAGTAGGGAATAAATTCCTTAACAAGATTTATGACATTTTTAGCAAATATACAGTATTATTTTGTAACATGACTTACATGCAGCGAAACCGCTGCAGTACTCATATGACTCCGGGGATTCGAACTGCTGTCATGCTTGACATCACATCCAAGACCTCAGTTCAGCGAGCGTTGAAAGTTGAACTGCACCGTTTCGTTTTCTTTTCCGTGCGACACAACTTCGTTACAACCCATCTCGGTTATACAGTACATGCTGCCATCACGCTTGTTTTTAGAAAGTCTTCTTGCTTCCCTGGGAGAAATTGTTGTATTTTGTGTGGCTGCCACTCAAAGTAGCAACATCCAAAATTCTTGGTGTTTTAAACTAAGTGGCTGTGAGTGCAGTTATGTATGTCGGTGCCTTTCCTGGGTTTGTCTCGCATCCCCTTGCAGATGGCTGTTTACGCCTCGCCGGCCTCACGGGGGGAAAAGTGCCGAGAAGGCGCCACTAAGCAGGCTGAGCTTCTCCGAAAACTGTCAGCAGCTCATTTATTTTGGCCTCCTGGAGGTTGAGCTCCACTCTGTTATATTAGCAGCTGTTCATTAAAGCACCTGAACCTCCCGCTGCCTTCACAAGCTCTTTTTTTTTTAAACTCTTTTCTTTTTGTACTAAAGCAATGACACCAACAATGTAATAGTACCATGGATGGTAATCATTGAATGTTAAATCATTAAGACCAGAGGTGGGCATTCTCTCAGACTGACGGTAGTTCCGTCCACTGTATCCGTCATCATTTCAGGCTGACCCACGGGGGCCAAGTCAATCCCTCATCGCCAACAGCCAATCAAAGTCAAGAACGCATTTTCCACGCCACACGAGCTGACACGCAGCCAAATAAAGAAAAACAAACTAAACTAACTAACTCAACGAACTAAAAACAATATGGGTCACATGTCGCTGAGGTCTGTGGCACTGAAAGGTGTACAACGCTGTTTTATTTTTATTTCTGCAACAATCCAGGCTAAATTTAGCTCCTCCCCAACATAATGAGATCTTACAATGGTCAAGGTGTACTGTATCACTTCAGCATATTTCCTTGATGACAGTCAATTTTTTTTCTCTTTGGCACCATAATGTGGCATCTCAGGTTTCACAGAACCCCCTCCCCTGCCCCCCCCAAATCTAATTAAATCCTCAGAGAGTCAAAAATCGGTGATATTTTCAACAAAGATCTGCAGATAGGTTGCGTAGGGAAAAAAATACACAAATAGATGGGGATTCATTATCTATAAATGCAAATGTTAATGAAGCTTATGGGCGCTTAAGATAGAGTCAAAAGACTGAGCTCTTCCTCACTGGGATAGGAACTGCTTGTCAGGAGGACGACAACACACCGCAACAAGTGTTTTCTCCCGATGGCAGAATGAGGAGGAAAACGCCAGAACAAAACAACTTCTCCATGTCTCCCTGCATGCCTCCTGCAGTCAAAAGCTACCCTTAGTGCAACATATACAAGCATAGTTAAAGATGCAGTCCGTTGTGATTGCAGAAAGGCCGATATCATCGTTGTGTGTGTGTTTACGTGTGTGTGTGTGTGTGCGTGCGTGCGTGCGTGCGTGCGTGCGTGCGTGCGTGCGTGCGTGCGTGCGTGTGCTTGTGATGCAGACGGTCAGCACTGATCCATATCCCGTCAAGCTACATTATGACAAGTCTCGTGACCAGGTGTGGATCCTCAGCTGGGGGGACAGGCAGAAGAGCTTTCCGACCCTGCAGGTAAGGGGAAGGAAAATCTCCAGTTTCAATGTTACCTTTGACGTTTTTGAGCATTGTTCCCATTGGTGAGAATCACGAAATAACATTGGTCTTAAGACATATTTGGATCAGGCATTGAGTGGATTAAGATGTGGATGTTTGTGATGTGTGATTCGGAAATTTGGATTCATTTTGAAATGTCCTCACTTTCAAAATAAAAGCACAAGTTGAGTTTTCTTCCTCCATGAAGATGACATTCGGTTTAGCAGAAACAGAAAATGGTCCAAATGGCTTCTCCTCTTTCACCCTTTCAGAGACAGCGGTTACTACAGTGGACAGTTTATCATGTTATCAGGTTACAGGGTGCATAAAAGGGTTAAACGTCAATATCCACTTCAGGCTGTGACTGACAGTTGTTTCCCCACCCTCAACAACTCGAACACAGGAAGCCAACACATAACGAAGGATATTAGAAAAAGGCAACCCACCTACAGAAACAATAAAGGCAGAGATTAAAATTTAGATTAATGCGATTAAAAAACATAACGCGCTAAACATGACCATAATTAATCAATCGCAATTAACGCGATCATTTGACACCTCTAAATAAAACATTAAAAATGACACCCTTGATCGACATGCCTACTCTTTAATATCAACCCTGTCAAATATCCCTCCAGGTGATCGGTGAGGCGAGCGTGAGGGTATCTCACCACACGGTGCACACGCAGCCGGTGGGTGGACGCTTCGACAGGGCGGACGACTTTTTCATCCCCTCCACCAACCTAATCGTGGACAGCGTAAGGTGCGTGAGTACACATCATCCACGCATATTTTGGCCTGTCAGTCGGCCCGAATGCCGAGGTGGTTTGTTTGCTGCCTTTTGGAACTGGCTTGCTTTTACCAGCCTGCCCGTCAAGCCAAGAGCCGGTAGGCGGTGTAATTACGTTGCCAGGCATCCGGCGTGCAGAGTACAGACAGGCTTATTTAAACTTGGCCCTATTTTCAGTGCTGCGTGCGTATGTTTTGAAATCGTACCAAGCCCTGACACAAATAGTGAAAACACAAAATGTCCCTCCCTCCCCAAAAAAGAAAAACATTACTATTGTTTTGAATTCTTTATACAACACCACCCTTAAAAATCAATGGGTTACAGATTATTTGATACGGAAAAAGATTCAACAGAAGTACGTGTCCACACACATGTGGCAGACTCTTTGCTGCTAACAAAACAAACAAAACAAGGCACTGTGCATGTTTGTGATCAAGCTAGCTGTGGTAAAGATAAAGAGTAAAATGCTGCGACGAGAAGCGGCGAGAAATGCTGACATTTAAGGATGAGACATATTCTTTTCACAATTTGACATTTGTCAGGTGTCAGTGACTTGCTCGACATGCACCGTGTGTCTGGTGTGAATGGACACCTCACCGCGTCGGCAACGTCGACGAGCATGAGCCGCTTATGTGTGCGTCTGAGAAAACTAAGGGCAACTCTGCTTCCCTTTTGGAAATCAAGAAACGTCTTGACTTTTTGGCAGGATTTTTGATACAGCGCTTGTATTAGACCTCATTAAAGTGAGCTCGGTGTTTTATATTATGTGACGCGCTATATTTTTTTAATGTGCTTCATCATTCATAGAATTAGCAACAAAGAGCGGAGGTATGCAAGGTGTTATATTGTGAGTCCTCTGATAACGACAATTCTGACTTAAGATTAAACATCATGCCAGAAAACACATGTTGCTAGTTATTATTTTTAAGCCTTTGCTTTTTGTGTAAAGGAACCAATCAATGTGCGGGCAGCAAAGCCTCAAAACAAGTAGAGTGAGATGCTGATAAAATGTTATGTGGGGTTTTTTTGTAATGCAAGAAATCTCCCACTTGATAGTTTGGCCCTGGGGGATTTTCACAAACCAAAGTGGGATTAAAATGCGAAAGAGGTTTTGTGTGAGCAATTCATGACTTATGCTTCCATGAATCAAGCAACGTTAGGAAACGTCAAGCTGAACTGTGACCAAAGACACACCTTTGTTTTATTACTCACTTGGATCAAAACAAAAACTGGAGAATTTGCATGGTGTAGTCATACTTGGCCGAAATCAATAAGGTTCGCTCCTTGAGATCCCAAGAAGAGTTTGAAGGCCTTCGGTTTGGATTGCTGGAGCTCCCCACAGAAACACTGATCAATTTGAGATGCGAGTGCAGCAACTTCCACCATTTCATGACACCTTTTGCAAAGTCAAGATGATTCAGGCTTGGATATGAAATGTAAAATGTTTTACTGTCATGATCAGTGAAGCGCCGAAGAGGTACAAGACACAAAAACTTGATTTACATTAATGGGGGCTCAATGGATATTCTCAGATCGTGTGTGTGGATAAAATTAAGACAGACTTGTGCATGTGCTGTGCAAAACAGACTTAAAGATATACTGTGGGTAAACAGATTGTCCCCGCCCAAAAAAATCTGATCGAATACGTGTTGATCAGTTCAAACTTGAGTAGAAATTGTGACTCAACCCTTCATCATAGGAATTGTGACACAACAGTTTAATTCATTAACATAACACCGCCCTCATATCAAAAGCCCATGAGGTGGGAGCTCAGTTAAGCTATGAGTGGTGTACAAGGAAACACAATGCTCTCAAAGCCAGAAGCAATCAGCATTTGAATATTGCTAGGTTTCATCAAAATTCCAATTTCTGCCAAAAAAAATAAAAAAGAACAAAATAACAAAAATAAAAACCTTTTTGTAAAAACTTGGATTTCAAGCATAGCTTTGACTTGAACACAATAATTTCTTTTTTTTTTATTTTGTATCATCTCACATATCTAATACTTTCCTTCTACAAAGCTACACAAGTAACACTACAAAAAAGACTTTTGATGGCAAAATAACCATTTATTTTCACAACTATTGAACTGAACTAGATACCGGAGTCAATTGGTGAGTTGAGCGTGTGAGTGCATGCAAGTTTGCACGTGTGCAAGTGTGCACATGTGCAAGTGTGTGTGCACGTGTCCTCCACCCTACAAATTACACACATACCCACACACACACACACACACAAACAAGGTTTTTGTATGTGATTGTGTGTGTGGTATAAAACAAAACAATTTCCTTGTTTCACACCACATTCAACTTTCACGGCGCTTGACTTGGCGCAAGCGGACCCGGCTTTTTTTCTTTGTGGTCTGGCATTTTTAGTGGTGGCAGCTTGTCGCTTCTGAGAAGGTGCAGGAAGTCAGCTGGCTGGTCAGAGTCCAGCTATGCAGCAGTGTTCACATGTCTAGAAGTTGCTGTGATGTGCATGTTTTTGGCTGCCAGCCCAAATGATCCCCACCACTTCGACATTCGCGACCAGTAAATGCTCAAAATATAAACATTTGCAAATATGGAATACCGTATTTTTTTGTTGCAGTGTGAAGTATATTTGTATTCACCTTTACACCACCACAATGGACGGAATGGGCTCTTGGGCTGCTGGATGCACAATGTGTAATTTGTCAAAATATGTACAATTACCACACCATTTTTTTTTTGTTGCTACCGAGTGACATTTCTCCATCTCTCTGTCTCTTCTATGCATGCACACACACACACACACACACACACACACACACACACACACACCGCTTACATTTACTCTGCTCTTTCTCTCTCTCATACACACACACACACACACACACACACACACACACACACACACACACACACACACACACACACACACACACACACACACACACACACACACTCCCACACACATGCTGCCTACATTTACATCAGTCATTTACTGTATTCCTTATTTCTCAGAATCCAATTTACTGAATAAATGAAATGGGTAGCGGTGGTTATAGCAGAGCTGACCGAACCAAACGTCTTTTTTTTTTGCACTGATGGATGGATAGATGCCTATAATAATACACAAGTCCGCCTACTGCACATAAATACCGCATTTATTTGTCCACAAGATGCATGATCTGTCCATGTTAATATTACTGACAACTGTATACCATAGTGGGACAAACTGACGTGCATATAACTGACTGATGAGGACATGAAGGGGCAACTGCTAAGGGGAACTTGCATTCCTGTTCATTCTCGAGTGTCTGGCAAAGGTTCTCCTGCTGCTTCCGCGCCATCCCTCATCGGACCTACAGGATGTGCATCTGGTTAGATCCAGTACATATTTATCATCTCCATCGCTATCATCCAAAGATGTCTCAGGTGAAACGCATTGTGAAGCGTGACTGCCATACCCATGTGGAACATCGCATGATGCCTGGCTGTTATGTTTTTTTCAAACGTGTCATTCTCTCTATCAAAGTCACTTCATCATCATGTTGAGCTGAGGAGCCTTTTTTTTTTTGTTTGTTTTTGCCCCCAAAAACAATCCTCGAGGATCAGCTGTCCTGCTTTATCCCTCTTTACTGTCTCCATGGTCTTTCGCCTTCCGCACACCCAGTCACACAGACTGCTTCTCCACCATGTTGTCTTATTCTCAACCACTTACTTCGTCTGAAACATGATTCTGGCTGATTTTACGACCACTGCTACCTGTGGGGGTTTTTTTTGTTTTTTTTAATGATTAACACTGCAGTCAAGTCTGATCCTTCAGTCAGAAGTTGCATCAGACCCACCTGTACACTCTTGTGAGGAAAAAAAAAACATAAAAGATGTATAAATACGTCCTGGGTAGGCGGGGGCTATGTTTTAAAAGACAGATACTGTATGTGTGTGTGTGTGTGTGTGTGTGTGTGCGTGCGTGCGTGCGTGCGTGCGTGCGTGCGTGCGTGCGTGCGTGCGTGTAGTCAAACCTCGGTTTTCAAACGTCTCTGTTCTCGACCAAATCGGTTTTCGACCAGAAGGTTTGAGATTTTTACGCCTCGGTTTTCGACCAAACTAAGCAAACCCGAATACGCCACTCGACTCCTCCCGGCTTCCTTACACGAGGAAGTGACGCTTCCTCGTGTAGCGTTCATTGTGAGCAGACGTGTTTGTTGTGATTTACGCAAATCTGACTGTTCTTTTGTTATTTCTGCACAGTGTATTAGCCCCTAATCATGGGACAATAAAATAGTTTTGGATTTCGAACAAAATTGCTTTTCGAACAGCCTTCTGGAACATATTATGGTCGAAAACTGAGGTATTGAATTGAATTGAATACACCTTTAATGACTGTGTGTGTGCTGGTGTGTGGGTGTGTGTGAGGTATTGAATTGAATTGAATACACCTTTAATGACTGTGTGTGTGTGTGTGTGTGTGTGTGTGTGTGTGTGTGTGTGTGTGCGTGTGTGTGTTGTGTGTGTGTGTGTATAATGTATCTCTTGTGGATTTAGAGAGTTAGTCTTGCATTTGTGGAATATGAATTGAGCTGAAAAATCCACCTGTTTTTATGCATCTCAGAAGGCTGCCATTTTGCCTTGTACTGCCACTGGCTATTGACTGAAAATGACATCACAGCACCTGAGGACTCAACTTACGAAGGTCACATTACCATCCATTCATCCATTTTCCAAACCACTTAATCCTCACACGGGTCGCGGGGCATGCCGGAGCCTATCCCAGCCGTCTCCAGGCAGTAGGCGGAGGACACCCCGAACCAGGTACCAGCCAATCGCAGGGCACACACATATGAACAACCATCCACACTCACACTCACACCTAGGGACAATTTGGAGTGTTCAATCAGCCTGCCATGCATGTTTTTGGAATGTGGGAGGAAACCGAAGTGCCCGGAGAACGGGCACGGCGAGAACATGCAAACTCCACACAACGAGGCTGGAGCCGGAATCGAAGCCTGCATTTCTGCCCTGTGGGGTCAACGCGCTAACCACCCGACCACCGGGCTGCGCCGGTCACATTACCAAATTCAGAAAACAAGAGTGCTGTGACTGTCCTGACCTGAGCCCTTTCAACTTCTGGGACCCCAGTTTGAGATTATTTTAGCCTGTGTTACCAAGAGTTCCTCACTATTGTTTGCAACATTCCATCTTTCCCATATCAGCATCTGCCCTCCACTCGTTTTGCCTGCTTGAGTTCACTTGTATTTATTTTTACTGAAGACCCAAGACGACAAATCCAAACATGATTGAATTTCACCAGCGTTCGGCGTACGTAAGATTGTTTACAATAAATCTGTCCCTCATCCATCTGCGACATTTCCAAATAAAGATTTGTGGCTGCTGGCGGACAACGCAATCTGTGGATTGGTGATTGCGTTGACGGAGACCGTGATGATATGCCCTCCGTGTGTGCCCCGCCGGCTTCCCAATGTTCAAACGGTATACAAAGATGACAAACGACGTCGAAATTGCTGCGCCCGTCAGCATTCGTCAGTTGGTCTCTGTCAGAAGGTTGTATACCTTATCCCACCATCTGAGCAGATTCTTTGTTTTGGGAGCTTTTTGGGGCAATGAAGATTGCATCAGGGCCACCATAGACATTGAACCATTCCACAAAAAAAAAAAAAACAATGGATTTTTCTTCAGCATTGTTCTCAAAAGTCAAGGCATACCTTTTTTTTTCTTTATGTTATTCAGTGACTTGAATGGCATCCAGAAAATTCTCCTAATCCTCAAAGTCTCGAGACTTTTGAGCCTTCCAACGCATGGAGAGAGGATTAAAACGTGCTGAGTTTTGTCATCTTTTTGGCGACCATATATTTGATATTCACAATTACAGTAATTGGGTTCTTGCTTCGAGAAAGACAAATGCCAAAAGAATGTCATTAAGGTATCTGAAGACTTTTTAACACAATCCAGTTGAAGAGCTTACATGAACCAACCTAACTAAAAGATGGAATGAATGCATGCTTTCTGTATACTCTTCAAAACATACAAGGTGTATATCTGAATTATGCCCAGTACGACAGAGGGATTATTGATGGTTACATCCATGATCATCTCAATTATGTCTCCCTCCTCAATTGATCAGGATCCTTCTCAGGCTTCTGAAAGCATGTTGATGAGCCAATCGTTTCATTCATGTGTGTTGGAGGGAGACATCTAAAAGACACTGGATAGCAAATATCCAAGACCGCACTTGGGCAACGCTGTTTTCGTCCATCTTTTTGCCCAAATTCGGCCCCGTTATTGACTGGAGAATAAAGCGCGGTGTAGTCCACCTTTTGTCTCAGTCAGCACTGGAAAAGATGACACAAACAATCTTTCGTGTTGTCCACCAAGCACCCAAAGCCCATCCTGTGTCCGACTGGCTACGAAGTTCGCCTTTAGCATCAAAGAGATTGACAGGCAACTAATACAGGAAGTAGTCTCTTGCTCAGTCAGTCTGTGCTCGACTTTGAGACAAATTTGTAAAACTCTTGACGAAGCTAGCTTTGCAATTTTGCCTGTGGAATTTTTTAAGACTCTTAAAAAAACAGATTATCGGATGCAGTGTCTTGTTCGGGACAGTGTCCACCTTTTGGACGATCAGATTTAAGAATGTGACCCTGTCCGGGAGAGAACTGCATACCAACACAAGAAATTTTGGGGGACGTGTCCAAATACCCAAATAAGCATATACAGCAGTGTCGCATTGCGGGGACAATAACTGGTGTTCCTTAGCACTAGACTGTAATAAATGAATAAATGCAAATGTAAAAAGATGCAACATCACTTCTACTTCAACCTCTAGTACGATTCCCTTGGATTGGATTTTACATTTCTGTATTCGGGCTGCTGCTGAATGTTGATGTTGGTTACCCCAGGTAATTACAATGAAGCCTGGAGGCATCACAAATATGTGTGCAGAATAATTAGATGTAGCATAACATCGCCGGCGCATGTGTCCTTTAATTTTAAAAATGTATACTTCAAAGTTAACTGTTTTAAATCTTTCTTTTTTTTGTGTGTTTGTCTAAAAACGCTTCTGGGGACGTGCATTGGAAATTAGCATTAGCTACAGATTAGGCATGGCTGGATTAACAGTTTGACGGTTTACCGTGGTTTCAAAAAGTCAAGGTTTCAAAAACAGCAACTACTGTCTGTCACCAATAATGAGCTGAGGGGACTTCTAAGCAAGGCACAATATGACTGGCTGCTTGCAGAGATTAGCGAAATAGCTCCCGCTCTGAAGTTAATTGGGGCCAGTTGCTTTTATTTTTTTTAATTTTAAATCTCTCTCTGTGAGCAGACAGGGGAGGGGTGACTAGTTACGCGCAGGGTACGAGGGAGGGAGCGAGATAAAATAGATACTGCAACTATTGATTTATGTGCATTCTCGTCAAACTAAAGAAAGTAAAATGCTGCCAGCGGTACTAGTTAGCTCCAAGAACATCAGGAGTAGTCCACAGGTCTGTTCTGAAAAGATCTCACCAGTGATGTGACACTGTGACTTACTCAGAAGAATGTTAACAATGATGTATTTATTTCAACTTAACGTAGTATATATTTCTTTATATTACATATTTTAGTGAAAAATAAAAGCTTGTGTTAAATGGGAAAACAATGCCATTTTTAGTAACCCAAATATTTAAAAAATATATATATATATATATTTTTTAAAAAGGACATTTAAAGAGCTGTAATTTCAATACCATGGTACTGCGATATGTTTTCTCACGGTTATCAGAATGTCAGTTGGACCCATGCCTACTATAACTGCTGTGATGCTGGACATGACAGATTTGTTTCTCAGTTATCTGTGTCGTAGCATCTGTGCCTATTCAAATAAACATGAAATGTCATGAAATGAAAAAAAAAAAAAAAAAAACGTCCATCCTGGCGTCAACTTGCAACAAATCCAGTGTGGGACATGCCACTTGGCCTAAATCAATCCTGTGATTGACAAGCGACCAATCCAAGGTCTAGTCCACCTTTGTCAGACAGTCAAACGCCATCTTGGATCGTCTTTAGCGGACCCTTGACACAGTGAGAAGTAGAAAATGAAAAAGGTGTGTGGATGGTCCAGTAAGTGACCCAAGCGTGTAGTTGTTTTGTCATTTTCTATCCGTACAAAATATGGTTGCGGTCCATCCAAACAGTTGATGACTTTTCAGTCTGAAACAAAGCGGCGACTGGTCCAGCCATCGTAGATTCCTGGTTGGAGAAGAAAATAGTCACGATTAGCTATTGATTCAATCTTTTGTGTTGTCTCTCATGAAACCGCCAACAGATTTGGCCTCATCTTTCACCGAAATGAGCCTGTCCTGCACAAGATCGACTTGGAGACGATGGCCTATGTGAAGAACATCAGCCTGCGGGACGTTAACTGCATCCCCAAGTCGGCGGCTTACACCCACTTGGGCGGCTACTACTTTGTCAATTGCCGCCCAGACTCCACGGGCGCCACGCAGCCGCAGGTCATCGTAGACAGCGTGACGGACGGCGTGGTGGGCCAGAACCGCGACGTCACCGGAACGCCCCACGTGTCCCCGGACGGCCGCTACCTCGTGACCGTGGACGACGGCGACGGCCTCATGCGCATCCAGACCGTCTCGGAGCGAGGCCAGATCGGGGAGCCCTTTGACATCCACACCAACCTGCACATCTCCGACCTGGCCTTCCAGCGCTCCTTCACCGAGGCCCACCAGTATAACGTGTTCGGAAGCTCCGGGCGCCAGACCGACGTGCTGTTCGTGGAGCTGCACAGCGGCAAGGTGAAGATGATCAAGAGCTTGAAAGAGGCCATCAAGCCGTACGAATGGCTGTGGAGCGCCAGTAACCGGGCGGTGGTGGGCGGCGGCACCTTCGGCCAGTACCTCATGACCCCCTCCCGGGAGTCCCTGTTCATCCTGGACGGGCGGCTCAACAAGCTCAACTGCGAGATCACCGACGTGGTCCAAGGCAATGTGTTGGCGTGGGTCGGGGAGTCTTAGTCCACTTCCGGTACTGCTGCACTGAATTTTGTGGGAGAGTAACATATTTGAAAATGCTAATTGACCGTGCTGAGCTCCACACCACGATAAATCCAAAAGTAATTGGAGTCCCAAAAATATATTTCACTGGCCAAAAAGTTTTGACAATTTTTTTTTCATTTCTGGATGATTTTTTTAATTTTAATTTTTTGCAAATCTGCCCTTGTTTTTTCTCCAGCACATCAGTTTTTCATCATAATAAAAATATGATGATAATAAATATGTAGTGAAGTAATATGTGGAGTATCAAGTACAACTTTATTGTCAAATGTGCTGTATGTTACACATACAGCACAAATGAAATTTTTGATTTGAAAATTGTCTGTTGTTAATAGTTGGATGGGTTAGGTTCAGCAACGGGGGGAATATTTCTTGGGAATCATCATAGCTCTAAATTACAATGCATGGTAAAATCTGTATTGCGCAAGCTTTGATTGGTCAAATTTTAAAAAGAAAGGAAAATATCTCAAAAACCTGTGTGCTGGGGGAAAAAAAGGAAAGACATTTTTAAATCGGCATCAAAAATATGTTGAGAGGCACATATAGTACTCATAAATCTGATTAAAATTTGCTGTTGACCAGCGTTATTTAGTGAAGAGATAGCCAATGCAGATCCGGCCCATCTCTTGTAATGCATCCCCAAACTTCTCTCCCGTGTCTTCAAGGAAAATTATCATTTTTTTTCCCCACCCCTCTTCGTTCACCGAGAGCTTCGTTACTGTACGATGCCCATGAACCTTCAATGCGGAATACTAAACAGCATTTGGTGAACTTTAATTCCATTTTTTATTTTATTTTTTGGTTCCCGCCCAAAGCAGTAAAATGAAAACTCGGCCGTAATGCTTTAAGAAGTGCAAAAAAGAAATATCAATTACTTCAAAGATTGTTCCTTGAGGATAAGTAGGTAGAGCACCTGTCTGGATGAAAGATAAAAATCTTGGACCAAACCAAAAGGAGGGAAATTGGACTAGACTAGGATGCACCCGAGTGAGATTAGCGATTAGAGTGAGATAGAGTGGCTTCTTGTGATACATTGTGTGCAAGACGATGACAATGGACACTTTCTATGCATTAACAATCCCAATGACAACTGCATCTGAAAAATTCACAATGGAATTTTCACGTGTATATAATGATATGAAATCTGTCTTTCCTATCTCATCGTTGTCACGCCTCGCTCTGACTTTTTCTGCCGTCTTGTTCTTTGTTCCTTTTACGTCCCGAGCGGCTGATTCATTCGGTTTCCGACTGTACAAATCAAAAACACAAGTGATGGTCCTCCACTGAGCGCGTTGCCATCACCGCTTCTACGTTCACGGTAGTCATGTTTGTGTATGTGAGCGTGTGTCCCTTGGTGCGATTGCCGATTGTTATATTTATATGTATATATATCTCAAAATAAAAATAATGCTTGTCATTTTACCCAACAATAAAATCCGTCCAAATGAAGCCATGTGTAATATCTGCTCTTTCAGTCATGACCGCACTCTTCCCTTTCGAGATGGAACACGAGCCCATCAATTTAACGCTTGCCGCTTATCATGGCCAACAATACTCGCGTTGGCCATTCGTCTAGATCAGGGGTGTCAAACTCATTTCACATGGTGGGCCACATACGGCCTCGGTAGATGTCAAGTGGGCCGGACCATTAAAATGATACAATACTTTGCTATAAATAACCAAAACAATATGTCTTTCCTTTGTTTTGGTATAATGAAGCACAAGAACATTAGGAAAATATTGAAATTTAATGAACATATCTTTTACAAAACATTTCATGAAGCACCTTACATTTCCTTCGACAAATGTGCAATTTACTTTTATCATTCACATATATGCATTGCAACTGATCCCACTGATTGTACAAACTTTAACAAGTAATTGGTATTGAAAAATATAGTAATGCACTTTAAGATTAAACAAGATTCATAAAGAAAGCAAGTTTTAAAGCATTTACACGTGCATATAAAATCTAAATGTAATCCCTGCCTACACCTTACAAACTAAGGAGAGTGCTATTAAATGTGTAAATGTGAGAGTGCTATTGATAGCGTCTGCTGTCATGGGTCTGTCTCAGTGACAGACTGAGGCTGCTGTTGTCTTCTTCTCTGATCAAAACAGTGTCCCCTTGCGGATACTCAATGAATTGCACCTGATTAAAAATATTAATTCTGTGTCTTTAATGCATTTTTTTCACTTTTACATTATCCTGCGGGCCTGATTGAACCTACTTGCGGGCCGGTTCCGGCCCGCGGGCCGTATGTTTGACACCACTGCTTTACATAATCATCTCGCGGGCCGGATTAAACTCCTTTGCGGGCCGGATCCGGCCCGCGGGCCGTATGTTTGACACCACTGGTCTAGATGGATGAGAGATATTTGATGTAGCGTGTGATCATCACAAAGAGAGATTGCAATTCCTTTTGAAATTGTCTGCGAATGTTCAAAGAATTCACAATGCATTTATTATCTTAGATTGTGACGGTATTACAACCGTCAGCAAAAATGTTGTGGTATCGTGGTAAGAAAATGACCAATTAAAATTATTCACGCCCATGCAAGATGTTTCAAAATATAAACAATAGATTTTAGATTTTAATGTTTTTTTTTTCCTTTTTTGAATGCGAAACTTGGATGTGAGACTGCCAGAGGCTAAATAAAAGGTATCCGTCTAGATTAAAGACATAGGCTACATATTTAATCTCTCCGCTAGTGGCGAGCACATGTGAGATTTCAGGCTGGTTGGCAACAAGAGCTCCGTTATATCGTATTCTTCAGTCAGAAATGCCCCCCCCCCCACACACACACACACACGAATCTTAAATTAGATCTCATTACAGTGTTCCAGTGCAGCGATAAGGTGACAGTTTGGTGTAGTTTATCACCATAGTTGGTAAAATGAACAGTGGCATGTCCAAAATGTTGACGAGATGAAATGGCGAACAATGCAGAGAGCAGTGATGAGAAAGAGGAGGAAAAGGAGGAAAGAATGACAAGGACGAGAAGGAAAGGAAGAAGAAAAACAAGAACAGGGAGAAGATTGAGGCCGATTGGAATGAAAATGCCGGCGTGTGAATGTCTGGGCATAAGCTGCGGCACATAGCAGAGCATTATAAATAAGAGTATCTTGTGTTCCTTTAAAAATAATAAAAAATGAACTATCACTACAAACTGTAGATTTCCACAACATTACAGGGACTGCTGCCACAGGTACATTCCACAACCACAAAAAACACTTTAAACCCTACTTTGAAACCCTAACAGTAGCTTAAAACCTGACTCTGAAACCCTAACATGGGTATAAAATTCAACTTTGAAAACCTAAATCTAGATTGAAAGCCTACTTTGAAAACTAAACCTAATTTGAAATCCTATTTTGAAACCCTAACACCGGATTTAAAACCCTACTGTGAAACCCTAACCCTAGTTTAAACCCTACTTTGAAACCTTAACTTTCGTTTAAACCCTACATTGAAACCCAAGCCCTTGTTTTCAAACCCATTTGACAAACTCTAACCCGAGTTTAAGCTTACTTTGAAACCCTAATTCTAGTTTAAAACCTTCTTTGAAACCAGAACCCAAGTTAAAAACCCGACTTTGAAACCCCACTGACACGCTTGCAGTTGCATCTTTCATGCGAAACCCGAACCGCTATTTAGCTGCGGTGAATTGTAGTTTTCTGAAATTGATGCTCCTCAGTCACAAATGGACACCCTTAAATACACATTCAGGCTGCTGTGTTGTGGATGCCCACACACACTCATTATTGGGAAATAAACGTCTTTTTGGATAGGTGCCAATTAGTGACGGATTTTCCTTTTTTGCGGGAGGCCTTGGTCCCTTGTCGCCAGCTAATAGTGTGACTCGAATGTACCTCCAAAGTCTTTGTTGAGGCATTCTTTGCCTGCCCATCTCCATTTCTTTTGGCCATACAGCCACACAGGCTGGTGATTTCTATGAATAATTCTCTTGGCTGAAAGTCCCCTAATAACACAACCGCGTGAATGGAAAGGAGGTACAGGCACTTTCTTAATTATCTGGAGTCGATGCTTTATCTGGTCGAGGTCACATAAGCCGCAGTCTCCGTCAGGAGACTTAACTCGAGTCCGCTTCATCATGTCGTCTCCGTGACGACTGATTGGTTGCGGCTCCATGGTCAAGTCATGGCACTAACAGCGACTCACGAAAAAACGTTCTCCTCGGCGTATGAATACATTTGTCACGCAGGGCCACTGAGTAAAATGTGGGTGGGTTTCATATGACTGAATGACAGGGTGCTTGTGTTGGTTTTTATTATAAACTCCATGTGCACACACACAATTAGCCGCAGGAAGGAAGCTGCTCAGTGTTCGCTATCTTCCAATTAAGATCACCAAAAGCCATTCAGAGAAACTGGTACCACAGTCAATATGAAAAAAAAGCAAAAATAGACATGCTAATATGAGATGCTATTAGAGAGAAATGAATGCCTACCCAAAAAATACAGTCATAGCCAAAGTTATTGTAGTTAATGAGAAATTAAAAAAAAAAAAAAAACTAAAATTGAAAAAACATTTTCATTAAAGGATTCAAATAAAAGTGAAAATACTCTTAAAATAACAAAATATAACAGAAACTCAATTTTATACTTATATAACTGATTACTGTATAATTGTCACATAAATGTTCTTCCCTTTTTTGTCAATTAAGATTGCAAATACGGTTTCGGGGTTCATTTTAAATTATATTATTGATTTTGGTACTCCTATACATCCAATCCGCACAGAAGAAGGAAGGCCCAACAGTTATTTGGGGAACTGTAGTTTACTTTATTACACAATCTCTAATGATCTTTTTTTATGTTGCAAATACACTATAAAAAAAAAAAATAATAATAATAATAAAATTAAAACAAAATTGAATACAAATCTAAGACAACCTAAAATTAACACTAAAACTAATAAAAATTCAACTAAAACAAAAATTACTAATAAAAAAACTAATAAAAATTTTTAAACCAATAAAAAAAAATCTACTTGCTCAAAAATTAATTACAATGCACGGAATTTAAAAAAATGTCACGGCAAAATTAAAATTTACTGCAATAAAAAAATTCCTAAACTTTTTTCACTCTGGAAGAAACTAATTATTTGATCC